ATAATGTTATTTATACATTTCTCAATCATCACTGTATTGCGCTGTATTGCATCGCATTATATGTTTTGACCCCCAGGATTAAAACAACAGAGTTTTGATCATAAAACTAAATGAAGCCTTTAAATATAATCTTACTAAGACATATTGGGAGATAGAGTGACAAATTATATTTGTATGTATTTTAAGCAAGTAGTCTGCTATAATGTTATAAAAAACCTCTCTGATTTACAGGTCTCAGAATTTAATTTTATTTTTGGCCATATAAATAACAACATCTACACCCAACTGCATATTTTTGCTCAGTTTGAGCCTCTGAATTAAACTGATGTTTCTCCTCCTCGAAAAAATTATAAGCTCCATACTCTCACTATATCACGCAATATGAGCCAGAAAAGCATGATGTATCAAATATAATACAAAACATGAAAAACTTGAAAATAATTTATGGATTTTGTATAAAGGTTAAATAAACTTCCATTTTTAAAAGGATTTGGTCTAAAGGTTAAATAAATTTCCATTTAAAAAAGGAAAACAAGAGTAGATGAATAGATTATTTAATGTTAGGCTTTACAAGGTTAAACAGAATAAGATTGTTTTTATACATAATTTGTATTATCTATCATTAATGTTGTTGTTTTATGTTTATATTTTGTCTTGTCACTGACACGGAGTACAAACTGTAATTTCGTTGCCCTGTACAATGACAAAGCTTTCTTATCTAACCTTATCTTGTCAAAAAGACAACATCTGATGCAAAAGGCATGGTTGCAAAAACCCTTGTGAAAAATACTCGTCTTTGAAAAACTGCAATATACCCAACGCTGCTAAGTAGCACAAATCCTGTGAAGAAAAACACCACTTTCAACACCCAAACTCTTGAACTATTTCACACACAAAAAACACACACACACACAAAGTTACACAACATAAGAGCTAAAAGGGAAATTTGTCTTTTTAAACTAGTATGTCCAGAGGTTTAGCTGACACAAGCATCACTGTAACAGCAATGCCTAGCTAACGGTTTACTTTACTGTTAGCTGTTCTGTCATCATATTTAACCGACTGTGGTCCCTTGTTAAACTACATAATTACAATAATTCATATAGCAGTGTGCATCTGTCCATTGTCAGTTCAGCATTTACTGACTCGTATCAATCAAAGTGACATTTAAAACTGAGAACTGAGCCTTGGCTTTAGCTGAACAGGCTAACCGACTAGCCATGTTTATCCCACTAACGTTAGCAGTCGGAAAAAGCAAACCGTCTCCACTCATTTACTCACCAATTCCCGAGTCTTGGTCTCCATGTTTCTAAAGCATAGAGGTTTTCGTAACTTACATCCTGTATCAGGTATAATAATCAAAAGACGCGTTGAGCGACGCCCCAGTATCGCTGCGGCTATTGTTGTGCTGCGGTTGCTGAGCCCAGCGGCGGTTTAAAGCTCGAGACCACTGCGGAAGATGATGTGTGTGTGAGTGCGCTGCTGGAATCAAAGGCCTCGAGCTCCGCTCACAGGATGCCTTTATTTACAAAACATCTCTAGATGTTATCAAGAATAACGTGCGCGTCCTCTCTGTTACAACGTCTTGCTAAATCCAAGCAATAACTGTTACAACATCAGCCTTGTGCGTTTGTTCCCTGATATCCAAGACGCGTCTTGAATCATGCAGGGTAGTGATGCGCGGATGAGCTAAAACGTCACCCGAATCCGCAGCTTTAAATAAATGATCCACCCGCCAAACGCCCGCACCTGTATTTTTGTCTGATTTAGATAACCGCACCCGATCATCACATTAGGGTTCGTACGGTCATAAAAAA